CTGGGGACATGGTTTAGTGGGCATGGGGGTGTTGGGTTGACGGTTGGCCTGATGATCTTAGAGCTCCTTTCCAACCTTAGTGATTCCTGGTTTTCACTTTCATTAAAAAATAATCCAGCCCCCAAGGCAGGAAGCATGAAATTATTCTTCTCCCCTTAATTGGTTTAGTGGTGGACTTGGTAGTGTTGGGTCAATGGTTGGCCTGGATGATCTTCAAGGTCTTTGCCAACCTTAATGATTCCTGGTTTTTACTTTCATTAAAAAATAATCCAGCCCCCAAGACAGGAAACATAAGATAACTCCTCTCCCCTTAACTGGTTTAGTGGTGGACTTGGTAGTGTTGGGTCAATGGTTGGCCTGGATGATCTTCAAGGTCTTTTCCAACCTCAACGATTCGACGATTCTATAAATAATCAGAATATTCTCTTAAGGAAAGCTCAGAGTCTAAATCCCTCTTTTTTGTCTGATTTTTGTTCCTTTCCAGGACGTGGAAAGCTTGCTGAGCAGGTACGGTTTCTTCCCTGAGGCTCTGCGGAAGGGTTTTGGAAGCAGCAGGTGAATCACCGCTTCCGTGGTGTTCTTCCCAGGAGCGCAAATATCCAGGTGCAGAAACCGGCAGCTGTTCCTGCCGAGCTGCGGGGTGCCTACGACGTTCCCACCGGCGGCATTTTTGAGTTTCTAAAGCGATTTAAAGGTGAGCGAGCGCGGGTGTAATATGGAGCCTGCCCCTCTGCCACGCCCATGGGGTTCAGGCACCCATTTACGTTTGGAAGGAGGTGCAGCAGCACCTTCTCCAGCCCTTGGCCGGTTGTTGTCCCATCCGGAGGTTTCAGAGGTGGGTTTCATGAGCGGGTGTCCCAAGTGGAGGAGAGAGACCTGGTTTGTGTCTCTGTCAGTAGAAAGGGTGGGTGACAAGCTCAACCACCCAAGAGTGTCCGTAGGAGACGTCGCTCGTGGGTGGAGCACCCAGCTCATCAACTGATGAAGCAATCAGTGCTCAATTCAACATCTCAGCTCATAAGACATCAGAAAAACCAGGCTTGGAGGCACCTTCTCAGGGCGTAGCAAGGGTCAGCAGCTTCTGAAGTGGAGCTGAGCGTGATCATCGGGGGTCTCCACACCTCACGGTCCTGGACGTAGGCGGTGGGCATCATCCCGCCCTAGTTGTGACCTCCCTCTGCTCTTCCTTCCAGTGGACATGACCTTGGACCCAGCCTCCGCTCACCCCAGCCTCCTCCTGTCCGAGGACGGCAGGAGCGTGAGTCACGGGGGCGCGCGGCAGGACCTGCCGGACCACCCCGAGAGATTTGACCCTTACGTCTTCGTGCTGGGATCGCTGAGGATCGCATCGGGGAAGTGCTACTGGGAGGTGGAGGTGGGAGACAAGCCCGAGTGGGACATCGGGGTGTGCAGGGAGGCCGTGAAGAGGAAGGGGAAAGGTCCTCTCTCCCCGCCGGCGGGCTTCTGGAGGATGTGGTTGAGGAACAGCAACCAGTACAAGGTCTTGATCTCCCACCCCATCACCCTTTCCATCCGAGCAAAGCCCAGGAGAGTGGGGATCTACCTGGATTACGAAGGTGGAGAAGTGACCTTCTACAACGCCACCGACCAGACCCACCTCTACACCTACAGCGGGGCCTTCGCCAGCGTCCTGCGACCCTTCTTCAGCCCCGGTTTGGCCCAAGGAGGGAAGAACGCCGAGCCCCTCGTGGTCTGCCCGGCCACGGAGCAGGGATGAGGGCAACCGGCTGCCCATCCCCACCTCCACATCCTGGGAGGACCCGGCTGCTGTCCCATCGTTGGGGGGGATTTGGGGATTAGAGCAGTTGCATGTCTCCGGAAAGGGTGACAGCTGGACCACTGCAGAAAATAATGATTTTTTTTCCCTTATGAAACACTTTTTTTTTTTTCCCTTGGGGGTGTCAATGCAATTTTAATTCATTATTTGGGGAAAAAAACCCAAACCATGGGTGTTTGGGATAGGTTTTTATAAACATCTACTGTCCCTTCTTTGGAAATTCCAGGTTGGTTTGGTTTTTTTTTTAATTTTTAGTTGGTTTTTTTTTTTTTAATGCTAGGGTTTTTGTGTACCTTGAGGAAGCGAAGCTGGGCGGAAAACTGGGGGAAGAGACCAAACCCAGGAGGTTCTGGACATCTGGGAATTGTCCCCAAGCGCCTTCCCTTGCGTCACCTCCCCGGAGCTCTGTCCCTTGGCTCCCAAAACCGAGCGTGACCCCCGGGGTTGGCAGGACAGGGCTGAGACCCCCAACCCCCTTTAAAACGCCCCATTATGAAATTTGCAGAATTCCCCAATTTTTTTTTTCTTTTTCTTCTCCTTATCGTTTCACAAAACAAGCCCCAAATTTTTCCACCAGGGTAGTGTGGCCGAGCGGTCTAAGGCGCTGGATTAAGGCTCCAGTCTCTTCGGGGGCGTGGTTTCGAATCCCACCGCTGCCAAGGTCCCTTTTGGGCTCGTTGGGGAGCACAGCTGGAGCGCGGAGCGGTGCCACAGCTGGAGCGTGCGGAGAAGGGGGGGAGACCACATCTGGAGAGCTCTGCCCACTTTTGGGCTTCTCCAGGGCCAGATGAGCGTGGGGACGCTGGATCCAGTGGAGAAGTTGGACTCAGCCAGACTCTTTGCACCGCAACGGATGATTTTCACCCCATGCCACAGCTCCCACCTTGGTTTTCACCCCACGCAGCAGCTCCCACCTTCCCCAAACCCCCTC